CACCTGGTTTGAAAAGAGTAGATCCTACTTCCCTGCCAGGAAGAGGAACTGACACAGGTGGGCAGTCCTGGCGTCCACCCTCCCCTCTAGAGACTGGTTCAGAGACATGCACAAGACACCAGCTGGGCATTCGATTGATTTTTTCCAGCATTTTTTTTTTCTCAATGTTACTAGGAGAGATCCTTTTTCTATCCACTGAAGAGAAACACAGGCATCCATCGTTCCAGCCCTGTGAAGAAGCCAGTCTGAGAAAATGAAGTTGTTGGAGTCTCTGGCTTTGGCCATCCCTGGGGTCAACTCCCACCACTGTCTTTAGGTACTTTCGTTGTAAAAGCCAATTAGCTCACTTTTGCCCAGGTGGTTCAAATTGTGTTTCTATCATTTGTATCCAAGGGAATCCTAACGGATGGACCCCTGAGAACATAAAATTTCCAACAGAAAAGGCAATGTTTGTACTTTCCAGGGTACTCACTAAAATAATGTCATGAATCACTTTCTTTTTACTTGTAGAGTAGGGGTTGCAATCTAGATATCAAAAGGGAAGAGACAGGTAGATTAAAAGGCCTAAATGAGGGAAAGTGGAACCCTGGGGGCTGACAGGTGTCTCTGTCCACTACCAGATTCAGCAAATTGTTTTCTTGAGGGAATGTGGGCCCAATATTACTGAATCTTTCAATTTTTTCAGGCAAAAAAAAAAAAGTTAAAATCCCAATTTTAGGGAGAAATTTTCTAATTTATAATTCATGACAACAAATTCAGTTCATCATATTGACCAGACGCATCCATGAACCACTCTCTTGGAAGCTCTGTTATGAAATGTAGAGTGAACTCACCGATTTTAGAGCTGAGCCACTGCTCCACACCTTCTCGGAGTTCCTCATTCCTCCCTCACCTCCATCACCAACACACAAAAATGTTAGACACTTCATAAGCATTGCTAACAAGAGCAGAGAAAACTTCACTGGAACAAGGGTGCTGGGTTTAGCAGCCACGTCACTCAGCATATCCACCTAATGGAACGTGATTTGAATTAGTGCCTTAAGAAAAATACAAATTGGCTGAGGCGGGAGAATGGCGTAAGCCCGGGAGGCGGAGCTTGCAGTGAGCGGAGATCCGGCCACTGCACTCCAGCCTGGGCGACAGAGCGAGACTCCGTCTCAAAAAAAAAAAAAAAAAAAAAAAAAAATACAAATTACTAACCCGGGGCGGTGGCTCACACCAGTAATCCCAGCACTTTGGGAGGCAGAGGCGGGTGGATCGTTTGAGGCCAGAAGTTCAAGACCAGACTGGCCAACATGGGGAAACCCATCTCTACTAAAAAAACAAAAATTACCTGGGCATGGTGGCACACGCCTGTAGTCCCTGCTACTTGGGAGGGTGAGGCAGGAGAATGGTTTGAACCCAAGAGGCAGAGGCTGCAGTGAGCTGAGATTGTGCCACTGCACTCCAGCCTGGGTGAAAGAGTGAAACTCTGTCTCAAACAAAAAGAAAAGAAAAGAAAAAGAAAACTACAGATTACAATATGTTACGGAGTGGTGGGCTTCTGATGGTACAGTTGAAACTGTAGGTGTGAAATCCCTAAAGGCCAAAGTTCTACTTTATTATGCTTAAACACACGATGCGTTTGCCAGTGATTTCTCTGTTGCCTACAAGCTTCAAGCCCACTTTTTTAGACACCACACCATAAGGCTGGAGCTAGGAGTCACACCTATTTCTCAGACTCTCTCGTCAGCTGGCTCTCAGTTAGCTTCCACCAATGGAAAACACTGGCAAGAAATAGGAAGATGGGAGATCCTAAGAAGAAACTCACTTAGCGCTTCTAGTGTGAGTTGGCATCCCTCCAGCAGCAGTGCACAGCAAGCCTCCTACTTTAATGCACCCCATCCGAGCGACCAGCAGCAGCTGTCACGGCTGTCCCCTCAACCCCATGTGGCAATCTGAGCACCAGCTGGCCCCACCCTTTGGGATGCCCAAGCCCTAACTACAAAGCATCACAAATCAATCAGAAATCCAAGCGTCAGTCCTCCCGATACTTCTCCAAGATCCTAGGTTTTGATAACATCACTTCTCCCCTTATATTCTCTCAATGCCTAAAGATGTTATCTGTTTTCTCAAAGTATTAATCTCTGGGTTAACCAATTCTCCGCATTAAATTTCTTCTGCTTGAAATAATTAACATGTTTCTCTTTTCTTCGTTCAACTTTGACTGATAGCAGTTATTAGAATAAAAATGTACTTTGTATGCTAGAATTTCTTTTTCTGAACTCATAATGTGAAAAACGGTTTCTTCAAATACCAAGATCTTTACTACAGGAAAATTGTTACCAAAAAGCCACAGAAATTGTTCTGTAAAATCCCAGTTAGGGCCGGATGTCGTGGTTCATGCTCATAATCCCAGCACTTTGGGAGGCTGAGGTGGGCAAATCACCTGAGGTCAGGAGTTCAAGACCAGCCTGGCCAACATGGTGAAGCCCTGTCTCTACTAAAATACAAAAATTAGCTGGGGCGTGTTGGCAGGCACCTATAATCTCAGCTACCCAGCTACTCAGGAGACTGAGGCAAGAGAATCACTTGAACCCAGGAGGCAGAGGCTGCAGTAAGACTAGATTGCACCACTGCACTCCAACCTAGGCAACAGAGTGAGACTCCATCTCAAAAAAAGAAAAAATCGCTATTAGGATACTTCAGCTACTTGTGTCGAAATCTTCATGATTCATAAAAACACTTGGCCAACCAGGCGCAGTGGCACATGCCTGTAATCCCAGCACTTTGGGAGGCTGAGGCTGGAAGATCCCCTGAGGTCAGGAGTTCAAGACCAGCCTGACCAACATGGCGAAACCCCGTCTCTACCAAAAATACAAAATGTAGCTGGGCGTGGTGGTGGGCACCTGTAAGCCCAGCTACTCGGGAGGCTGAGGCAGGAGAATTGCTTGAACCCGGGAGGCAGAGGTTGCAGTGAGCCAAGATCACACCATTGCACTCCAGCCTGAGAGACAAGCAAGACTCCATCTAAAAAACAAAAAACAAAACAAAACAAAACAAAACGCTTGACCTACAGTGTCTTTCCTAATCAGCATTTATATCCCAAAGCCCTTCTTCACTCTTCAGGAGTCCATTTCTATACACACCAACTGAAGCCAATACTTAGGAGCCAATATTCTTAGGAATGTTCTGCCAATTATGCCAGTGGATTTGGATCTGGATTTAAGATGAGCAAATAAGTGTTTAAAAATCAGATTTTAAAAGCCAGCCATGTTTGGGGGAGAGAGCAGTAATTACTCATTCTAGAACAGAAGGCTTCATTTTATGAAAGCATTTGCCTGAAGATATCTTAAGAAATTTACATATGCAAATATATATTTTCAAAAAACGAGATTACCTTTTTTTTTTCTTTAGAAACATCCACACTGATATGGTTTGGATTTGTGTCCCCGTCCAAATCTCACGTCAAATTTTAATCCCCCATGTTGGAGGAGAGGCCTGGTGGTGATTGGATGATGGGGGCAGATTCCCCCTTGCTGGTCTCATGATAGTGAGTTCTCAACAAACCTGGTTGTTTAAAAATGTGTCACCTCCCCCTTCTCTCTCTTCCTCCTGCTCTAGCCATGTAAGACATGCCTGCTTCCTCTCCACCTTCTGCCATGATTATAAGCTTCCTGAGGCCTCCCAGACATGCTTCCTGTACAGCCTGCGAACCTATGAGTCAATTAAACCTCTTTTCTTTATAAATTACCCAGTCTCAGGTAGTTCTTTATAGCAATGCTAGAACAGACTAATACATTCACCACACTAATAATTATGGCTATTCTCTGTGTATGGGAATTGTTTCAGTATTGTCTTTTCTTCTTACAATAAGTACACATTACTTTTATTATAATGGAAAAAATATTCTAAAGTTCCTCTAGTGCAAATTTTAAATACTTGAATTCTAAAGCTAGGATTCACCTTCTGTTTGAATGAAAATGCCTCATGTATGCCTTTTCAGTAAGCATCTACTGAGCATCTATGGAGTGCCTGGTGGTGTACTAAGAGAACCCCAAAGAAAAATTCCTTTTCCTGGAGAATCTAAACCCTATCAGCATGGTTCACAGGCATCTTTACAATAAATAGCCAATACATGATAGATCTTCAATAAATACTTGTTTAATGAATATATGCATGTACCATCATAGGATTTATTTTTCAAACTCTTGTTTCATAGGGGATTAGCCACATTCAGTTCACTTATCACACACACATCATACTTCATCACTTCTAAGATGCAGATTGTCCACATTTCAACTCTAAAATCAGAATGAAGCTTACTGTCAATGTGATTTTTTTAAAGTATTATATCAGACAATTTGCAGCATTTTCTCTTTCATAATGGTAAATGATATGGTTTGGCTGTGTCCCCACCCAAATCTCATCTTGAATTGTAACTCCCATAATTCCCATGTGTTGTGGGAGGAACCAGATGGGAGGTGATTGGATTATGGCAGTGGGTCTTTTCTGTGCTGTTCTGGTGATAGTGAAACAGTCTCACAAGATCTGATGGTTTTAAAAATGGGAGTTTCCCTGCACAAGCTCTCTCTCCTTGCCTGCCACCATCCATGTAAGAAGTGACCTGCTCCTCCTTGCCTTCCACCATGATTGTGAGGCCTCCCCAGCCATGTGGAGCTGTAAGTCCATTAAACCTCTTTTTCTTCCCAGTCTTGAGTATGCCTTTATCAGCAGTGTGAAAACAGACTAATATAGTAAATAAAATAACAATATGTCTTATCTTGACAGCATCTTAGATGGAATGAAATACAATATATATTCTATTTTATAAATACTTTAGAAAATACATGTGAATTGTTGGGCATGCACCCCCCTGAGGTTCAACTGGGAAATGTTTTCATAGGACCACTCCATTCCATGAACGTTCAAGCCCCCAGTGATCACTTGAAATCCACAACTAGTAATTTATATAAATGTTAAAATCAACAGCACACAAGTAGCAAGTTTATAAAAATGTGTGCATTTATGAGAGTTTACTTCTCAAATTTTTCAAATTATTATTGAACGTTAAACACATATTTCTCATATTGAACTTTAATAAGGCATAAGGGTATATAAACATTATGTACATTTCTAAGCACTCATGTACTTAAAAGACTTTTGTATTTTAATGTTTGAAGTTAATCAAAGGTTTAAAGTTTCTAAGAAACATGAAAATGACTAAACGGTGTAAGAACTGCAAAGTTATAAAAGAAAAACCATTAAAATCTTATTGGAGAGATGAAATTAACTATGAGAAAAATGAAATTTTGTGACAAAGACAGGCAGAGAACATTACAAGAAAGAGAACAATTTAAAATCTTTTTAGTGGGGTGTGGTGGCAAGTGCCTATGGTCCTAGCTACTCCAGAGGCTGAAGTAGGAAGATTGCTGGAGCCCAGGCAGTCAAGGCTGCAGTGAGCTGAGAGCATGCCACTGCACTCCTGCATGGGCAATAGAGCAAGACCCCATCTCAAAAGAAAATTTTTAAAAAGGACAAAACATCACCAAACTAATAAAATGTGAATCATCTGTAAAGTATAATCTATACTAACTACATAATAAAGGAATATCTCTGAGCAGTGCAATGTAAAATATTGGGCACATGCATTAAAAACATTAAATAAATACAACAACATTTTAAAATAATAATTGACATCCAGGCAATAATTATTGTGGTGGCTTGTGCCCATAATCCAGGCACTTTGGGAGGCCAAGGCGGGAGGGTTGTTTCAGCCCAGGAGTTTGAGACCAGGCTGACCAACATGGCAAGACCCTGTCTTATCAAAATAAAAAAAAAATTCCAGCTTGGCCAACATGGCAAAACCTCATCTCTACTAAAAATACCAAAATTAGCCAGGCATGGTGGCATGCACCTGTAATCCCAGCTACTCAGGTGGCTTAGGCACAAGAATTGCTTGAACCTGGGAGGCAGAGATTGCAGTGACCCCTGATCACGCTACTGCACTCCAGCCTGGGTGACAGAGCAAGAGTCTGTCTCAAAAAAACTTTAAAAAAAATTTGTTTTAATAATTATTGACATCCAACCTGGGCAACACAGTGAGACTTCATCTCTACAAAAATAATTTTTTAATTATCCAGGTGTGGTGGCGAGTACCTGTAGTCCTACATACTTGGGAAGACGAGGCAGGAGGATTGCTTGAGCCGAGAAGTTCAAGGCCACAGTGAGCTATGATTGCATTGCTACACTCCAGCCTGGGAGACAAAGCAAGATGCTGTATGCTGTTTTAAACAAATAGTTTTGTTTTGTTTTTTTTTTTAGACAAAGTCTTGCTCTGTCGCCAGGCTGGCAACCTCTGCCTCCCAGATTCAGCGATTCCCCTGCCTCAGCCTCCCGAGTAGCTGGGACTACAGGCATGCAGCACCACACCCACCCAATTTTTTGTAGTTTAGTAGAGATGGTGTTTCACTATGTTGGCCAGGATGGTCTAGATCTCCTGACCTCATGATCCACCTGTCTTGGCCTCCCAAAGTGCTGGGATTATAGGCGTGAGCCACCATGACCAGTCAACAAATAAAATTTTTAAAAAATAATAATTATTGACATCTACTAGTTCAGTGACTGTACACGAGGTCTATCTAGTTAAATCATATAGTCCCTTCAGCATCTCTTAGCCTTCCTCTTCCATATTTTCTCACAAAAGGAAGCTGATGTGGAAGCTGGAAGAAGAGAACAGGAAGAAATGGGACAAGCCATACTTTCAGCCATTGGTGACAATTGCCTATCCCTTGCCTTCTGATCCTGTGACCACCAGGGCCTCCAAAATAACTTCACTGAGGACCTTTGAGAGCTGCCATCATCAACTCTTTCCTCTCCCACACTACGCTTTCTTCCTTACTGGGATTAGGAATATAAAATCTGGACACACACAGGAGCTCACCTGGGCACATCCCCGTTCCCTGCTCTTGCCAACTCAAACCCTACCTCACCCACCCACTGATCAGAACAGAGTTGGGCAGTACCAGCCAGGAGGTTCTTTTTCCTACTGCAATGCTTTAGGGAATGATTTTCAAACTGGATAAGTTTCTGTTACTATAAAATAAAAAAGAGAAATTCACTTGAGATTGTATTATACATGGAACATAGAAAACAAAACTGGATTTTTGTAATCAGCATGATATAAAGATCTAAAAGACAAGGAAGAGGTGAAGACTAAGAAGAATATAGTACTATTATGACTACAAGTTTACAACAATATTATCAAGTCATAATTATACTGCTATTATTCACTGGAGTAATTTTCCATTGACTTCAAAGTGCAGATCTGTTGGTAGAATGAAAAGGGCAAGATAAAGGGCAGACCTAATCCATTTAGGTGAGATTGAGACTAAAATTTACAGAAGTGAGAAAATTGTCTTTAAGAAGATACTGACCGACTGTGTGGTGATGGTAGAGGTTGCTTTTTTATACAAAATATTTTCAAGAAAGCCTTTTGAAAGCGCTTGTGACACAATGGATACAAAAGAGGATTGACAAAGGAATTGAACCACTGAAGCCAAAATGCAATTCTGTACCAAACGGATTTAGAACCTGTCTCTGAGGAGTAAAATGAAAGAACAATTGTGAACAGAGAATACGGAGCCCAGCAAACAGCAAAGACTCCTAAGAGAATGGCCAGTGACTTGGCTAATCTCCTGGCTCTAAGCAGTTCAGCATGCTCCCTTTGGTGAAGACCTACAGAATCTGATTGGGAGAAGGAACCCATTTTGGAAGCAATTCTATTGCTATTCATCTTGGTTCTTAAGGAATACATGAGACTGCTCTTTCTCCTCTGTCTCTCTGAATGAAGGGACACAGGCATTTCTGTCGATGCAGAAAGAGATCCCCTTGAAGATAGTCCACATCTGAATGACTGTCCACAGATGTTGGAAGAGACAGCAGTCGGTCCAGGATGGCTTTGGCACCTACTGAGATGATCACGCTTCCACAGGCTCCAATAAATATTCATGTTGAAATAAGCAACTAAGATGACTGGGATCAGGAACTCCAAGAATGATGTGATGGCAACGATGTACCATTCCGAAAAAAATCCAGGTTCACATTCACTACCTTCATCCTTCCAAGTCTCTGAAACTAGAATCATTGGCCCATTCACTAAGAAGGCCAGCACCCAAACGGCCACCATCAGAGTGACAATCTTCAAGATCCCAGTATGTTGAGTTCTATAAGACACCTAGAAGAGACCAAACAAATTATTTTCAATATAATGAATGTATATGGGATGCATAAAGTATCTGACAAGTCCTTAGAAATTTCAGGGATGTGCAAAGGATGGAAACTTTAACTAACCTGGGTATCATGATGTGGACCAGGACAGAGGGTTTGACTTCAGAGGAGCCTGGGCCAAGATGCAGACTTTCTTAATGGGTTTCAAGGGGAGAAGACTAGACTGTAACCTTCAAGGTTAAATCCCTGATGCTATAGCAAATGTCAAAGCCAATGTGTAAAATAAGAAAGCAGGTTTTCCTAATTGACACTAATCTGAATGTCAAACAACTGAAGTTGGGTGCACCTTACCACAGTATTGCTCAATCTGCAGGCTGAGCATGACCAGATCTTTTTAATGAAATAGAATAGTTGATATCAGAATGCATCACATATAGTGAGGGTAGGTGTTCTTTAATGATGTTTCATCAAATAAAGCAATATGTCTTTGGGAATAGAGATACATATATTTCAAGAGAAATGCAGTTCCTCTGAGTCACAGCACCAAATGCATTTCTCACTGTAGTCACAGTCAAAAAAGTTTGAAAGCCCTTGCCTTATCTGATTCCAATACATAGAAAGAATCTACTCTGTGGTTTTTGCTGAGACTTCAAGGTAGAATCAGAAAGAGAAAGGACTCTCATCACTACCGAGAAGATTAAGCACAGACACAAAGATTTTTTTTTTTTAGTTTTTATTTTATTTTATTTTTTTGAGACAGAGTCTCACTCTTGTCGCCCAGGCAGGAGTGCAATGGCGCGATCTCGGCTCACTGCAACCACCACTTCCCAAGTTCAAGCAATTCTCCTGCCTCAGCCCCTTGAATAGCTGGGGTTACAGGTGCCTACTAGCACACCCAGCTAATTTTTGTATTTTTAGTAGAGATAGGGTTTCACCATGTTGACCAGGCTGGTCTCAAACTCCTGACCTCCACTGATCTGCCCACCTCAGCCTCCCAAAGTGCTGGGATTACAGGTTTGAGCTACCGCACCCAGCCCAAAAAAGAATTTTAAACCTGCTGCAGATAAATACTGCATTGCTATTGCTACTGCATTACCAAGTCACTTCTTGGTGTTCGTTTGTTTGTTTGTGACAGGGTCTCGTTCTGTTGCCCAGGCTGCAGTGCGGTGGCACAATCACAGCTCACTGCAGCCTTGACTGCCTAGGCTCAAGTGATCCTCCTGCTTCAGCCTCCCAAGTGGCTAGGACCACAGATGTACACCACCACACCCAGTTAAATTTTTGTGTTATTTGTAGAGATAATGCCTCACTATGTTGTCCATGCTGGTCTCGAACTCCTAGATTCAAGTGATCCTCCTGTCTTAACCTCTCGAAGTTTTGTAATTATAAACTTGAGCCCACCTAGCCCACGCGCGTCACTTCTTTGTGCAAGCATTTCCGCCTGACAAATACAATGTCAAGGCTGTGATGACCAGTCACTTTGAGAGACACAACTGTGACTAGTGCCACCATCTTTTTTAAGGATGAAGAATATTCTAACTCCCCTTGGTCACAAGGACAGGCTTCTATAAAGGAAAATGAGATTCTATGAGTGAGGACTGCCCTCCTACCACAGGACCCGCAATCCTTATGTCAATCCTGAAATCTTTAATAATGTCTTCTCAATCTAAAGACCCCTAAGATCAATCACTCTATATGAGGGATAAGGAACTCTTTAAGACGACCTGGAACAGACAACCTCTCTGAACCTCATTTAAATCAGTACGGTTTCAACCCGGTGCAGTGGCTCACGCCTATAATCCCAGCACTTTGGGCGGATCACGAGGTCAGGAGATCGAGACCATCCTGGCCAACATGGTGAAACCCCGTCTCCACTAAAAATACAAAAATTAGCCAGGCATGGTGGCTTGCACCTGTAGTCCCAGCTCTCAGGAGGCTGAGGCACAAGAATAGCTTGAACCAGGGAGGCAGAAGTTGCAGTGAGCTGAGATGGAGGCACTGCACTCCAGTCTCGTGACAGAGCGAGACTCTGTCTCAAAAAAAAAAAAAAAAAAAAATCAGTAAGGTTTCAAGGTTCCTTTCAGCTCTCATGTTCCATGTTTCTCTGATTTCCTCACTCACAGGCAAAAAAAAATGGATCCATGAAATTGGAACATGCTTCCTTTTTCTACCTCTTGTGTCATATTTTTTCTGAAAATTTTAAGTCTCGTTCTACAGTGGTTTCTTAGGTTTTAAAGGGGTGCAGCATTGCCCAGCACTCTTTCCTTAATGGATCGTATATGCTGAGAAGACCTCTATTGGCTGGAGGTAAAAAAAAAAAAAAAAAAAAAAGCTAGTTAATAATTTAAAAATGAAAACACTAAGTTTTTTTTGTTTTGTTTTTTGTTTACTGTAGGGAGGTGGATTTGTTGTGTTGTTGTTGTTGTTGTTTTCTCTCAAATTGCTGGTATTTCTGAGGCTAAGCTAAAATGCATATGGTGCTGGCCACAAGCTCTCATATGCAATGAACTTTTTTTTTTTTTTTTTTGCCTTCTGCTTCCTGTGCCACTAATTAATACATCTCTTGCACTAAATCTAATGATTATGAAGATGGTAACAATACCCAGATGGTCCTAAAGCTGCATTTAGTGTTTAATTGCTCTGCTCAGCCTTGGTAATGATATAACACAATATGTTGGAAAGAGATCTCTCTTCCATTACGCATAAGGTCAATTGAGATAATGGACAACCAAGGAGCTGTGAAGAGGATGCTGATCTCCACATCTCCGGGGAGCATTTTTGAAAGATAGACAGTTCAAGCATTGCTTGAATCCGGACCCAGGCTGCTGGAGTGGTGTCCCTGAAATCCCGCAGTGGCCTAGCACTTGCCCACTACAGAATATGCCCATTATTCAGGACACTGTCTCTTACCCTACTTTTTTCCCGCCTGTATAAAATATCCACACCTCCTGTCAATCAGGTTTTTTTGGCGAGGCCAAGCGGCCTACTAGAACTTGTTAGTGTTAGTAATGAGATGGATTTCAGGACCATTCTAAGCGCCTGTTGTGGGTTACATTATGTCCCGCAAAAAGGTATGGTGAAGTCCTAAACCCCTCAGTACCTGTGAACGTGACCGTATTTGGAAATACGGTGTTTGCAGATGTAATCCAGTTAAGATGAGGTTATACTGAATTAGGGGTCACCCTATCCGATATGTCCTCATAAGAAAACAAAGACACAGACACAGACCCAGGGAGACAACACCATGTTACAACAGAGGTAAAGACTGGAGGGACGCATCTACAAGCCAAGGAATGCCAGGGGCTGCTGGCAACACCAGAAGCTAAAAGACAGGCACAGAGCAAGACGTCCTGGAGCGTTCCGAGAAAGGACGGCCCTGTCGGCACCTTGATTTCAAATGTCTAGTCTCCAGAACCGTGACACAATAAATTCCTGTTGTTTTCAGCGACCCAGTCTGTGGTCCTGTTATGGTAGCCCTAGCAAACAAACACAGTGCCCCAGTGAGTCTCCCAGCCATGAGATTTCCTGTGGTCTTGATTTTACTGTCAAGTTTCTTTCTTCATTTGCAGGTAAAGAAATACCCTTCTTTTACTATCTTAATTCTGTATACTTTTTTTTTTTTTTTTCCCCGAGACAGAGTCTCACTCTGTTGCCCAGACTGGAATACAGTGGTGCAACCTTGGCTCACTGCAGCCTCCGCCTCCTGGGTTCAAATGATTCTCCTGCCTCAGCCTCCTGAGTAGCTGGGATTACAGGCGCCCACCACTATGCCAGGCTAATTTTTGTATTTTTAGTAGAGACTTTGTTTTGCCATGTTGGCCAGGCTGGTCTTGAACTCCTGACCTCAAGTGATCTGCCAGCCTCAGCCTTCCAAAGCCCTGGGATTACAGGCGTGAGCGACTGCACCAAACCATTTTTGTACATTTTAATTCCCATTCCCTCCAGCTACCATGAAGCCCTGCTGTCCTTCCCCACCCAACTCTGACTTCAGCCACACGGAATCTGCCCCTCCGGAAAACCTCTCTGAGAACTGTAATCATGTGCTCCACCCGCACTGGGCTTTTCTTTTCCAAATTATTGTCAGATTTCCATTCCTCAGGCCACCCATCCCTTTCCCCTATCACACTGTCTCCTGTGCTTTCAGCTACAGTAAGAGTTCAGCTTCCCCACTGCTGCTTCTATGGGATCCCAGTGGTCTTTGAAGGCTTCCTTCTGTTTTCACATGGCTGCATTTGAACTATTCGCCAACAGAGGTACAAGGTCTACCTGAGCACCCCTGCCAGCATCCATACATTCACTTGTGGAAACCTATGTATTCTACTCTGTGCTGTGCACTGGGGACCCAGGATCTAGCCAACATATCCCTCACCAAGTTTACAGCCTGAATTGCCAGGGGGATTACTGGAGGCAAGACTAGGATTTAAAAACAAAAAACAGGCCAGGCATGGTGACTCATGTCTGTAATCTTAGAACTTTGAGAGGCAGACGGCGGCGGATCACTTGAGGTCAGGAGTTCGAAATCACCCTGGCCAACATGGCAAAACCAGATCTCTACTAAAAATACAAAAATTAGCCAAGCGTGGTGGCGTGCGCCTGTAATCCCAGCTACCCAGAAGGCTGAGGTCCAAGAATGGCTTGAACCCGGGAGGCAGAGTTTGCACTGAGCCGAGATCGTGCCACTGCACTCCAGCCTGGGCGACAGAGCCAGACTCTGTCTCAAAGAAATAAAAAAGTAAAAATAAAAACAAAAAACAAAAAGAAAGTCCACATTCCCTCTGGGCATCATCCCTCATCTGTCTGTAACCTCTAAACACTTTTCCCAACTGAGTAAAATGTCCCTTTTCTGCCCACAAAGCTGAGAGTAAATTCAAAAGCTGGGACAGCCAGAGAAGGAAGCCCTAGGAACATCCAGAGGAGATTAAAAAGAAATGTTAACCCAGAAAGAAAGGAAAATTTGAAAGTATAAATGGAAAAGATTCTGAATTAGAGCATTATTTTTCAAATACTTGACTGTGATCTAAAGTAAAATAATATTGTATATCATAACCAAGCACACAGACGAAAGTATTCACAAAACAGTATTTACTTTTATTATGTACAAGATACTCTGATGTTTTCTAATTTTTTATTTTGTTCTATTCCTTTTTTTTTTTTTGAGATGGAGTCTTGCTGCGACACCCAGGCTGGAGTGCAATGGCACAATCTCAGCTCACTGCAACCTCCTCCTCCCAAGTTCAAGCAATTCTCCTTCCTCAGCCTCCCAAGTAGCTGGGATTACAGGCAAGCGCCACCACACCTGGCTAATTTTTTTGTATTTTTAGTAGAGGTGGGTGTCAGGCCTCTGAGCCCAAGCCTGTATGTATTCATCCAGATGGCCTGAAGTAACATAAGAATCACAAAAGAAGTGAAAATGACCTGTTCCTGCCTTAACTGATGGTATTACCTTGTGAAATTCCTTCTCCTGGCTCATCCTGGTTCAAAAGCTCCCCCACTGAGCACCTTGTGACCCCCATCCCTGCCAGCCAGAGAACAACCCCCTTTGACTGTAATTTTCCACTACCTACCCAAATCCTATAAAACGGCCCCACACCTATCTTCCTTCCCTGACTCTCCTTTCGGACTTAACCCGCCTGCACCCAGGTGATTAAAAAGCTTTATTGCTCACACAAAGCTTTTTGGTGGTCTCCTCACAAGGACATGCGTGAAAGCGGGGTTTCACCATATTGGCCAGGCTGGTCTCGAACTCCTGACCTCAAGAGGTTCACTTACCTTGGCCTCCCAAAGTGCTGGGATTACAGAAGTGAGTCATCATGCCCAGCTGTTCTATTCTGTTTCATTCCATATTTTTTTCATTGAAAAAAAAAGGTCACAACCCACTAAATTGATTTCATAAATCAATAATGGGTCAAGGCCAGCAGATTGAAAAATATGAGACTATAGGCATTTGAATTGTTTATCCAAGCTGATCTGCACTCTCCACATACAATACAAACTGCGGTGGACCCTGCTGCCAATGAAGTATGTGATGCTAAGGGTGAGACATAGCTGGCTGTCCTCCCACATCCATTCTCCCCTCCTTCCTATGTGGTGGCTCAACTAGAGTTTCCCAGCTTCCTTTGTGGTGAGATGGGACCATGTGACTAAGTTTCACCAATAAAATGTAAGTGGAAAAGACTGTGTGACTCTGCACTACTTGGTTAAAAAAAAATAAGAAAATCCCTTGCTCTGGACTTCTTCCCTTTCTCCTTCCTGTCCAGAACCTAATATCACAACAACCTGACTTTGACCATGCAGAGGAGGAGAATGGCCTACAGCAGAGGCCAGAAAACTACTGTCCATGAAACAAATATGGGCTAGGCACAGTGGCTCATGCCTGTAATCCCAGCACTTTGGGAGGCAGAGGCGAGTGGATCACCTGAGATCAGGAGCACAAAATCAGCCTGGCCAACATGGTGAAACCCCATCTCTACTAAAAACACAAAAATTAGCCAGGCATGGTGTTGCATGCCTATAATCCCAGCTACTCAGGAGGCTGAGGCAGGAAGATCACTTGAACCTGGGAGGCAGATGTTGCAGTGCAGTGAGACAAGATCATGCCATTGCACTCCAGCCTGGGTGGCACAGCGAGACCCTGTCTCAAAAAAAAAAAAAAAAAAAAAAGAAAGAAAGAAATGTGGCCCACCACCTGTTTGGGCAAATAAAGTTTTATTGGAACAAAGCCAAGTACATTTTTTTATATATCATCTATGGCTGTTTGGGGGCTACAATGGTATATTTGAGCAGTTGCAACAGAAACAGTAGGTTCTACAAAGCCAAAATTATTTGCTGTCTGGCTCTTGATCACGAAGGTTTGCCAGTCCCTGCCCTAAAGGGTGCAGAGCCACCTGCCAGCAGCATTCCTGGGTGAGTTCCTGGAGCAGAGAATCCACTCTTTCATGGACTGTTATGTGAGAGGAAAATAAACTTTTATCTTGCTTAAGCCTCCACATTTTGGAGACTCTTTGTCACAGCAGTTTATCTTTGCCTGATCTAATACACCTTCCAATCCTGTCAACCTCCAGCTGCACAATCGTCCCAAGCTAGAGCTGTCACTGTCCTCTCAACACCCCAGGACAGCACTTAGTCCATTGTACTGAACCGACTTGTTCCTGGATCTGCCTCCACGTAGATGACTATGCTCATCAAAAATAGAGACTCACATAAAAAAAGAAACAACAGATACCAGGGCCTACCTGAGGGTGGTGGGTGGGAGGAGGGAGAGGATCAAAAAACTACCGATCAGATACTACGCTCATTACCCTGGTGACAAAAAAATCTCTACACCAACACCCCCGTGACACTCGGCTTACTCATACTCACATAACAAACCTGCACACGTACCCCCTGAAGCCAAAACAAAAGTTGGAAAGAAAAATAAAATAGAAACTCTGCATATTCACTTCTGTATCCCAGGACTTAGCAAAATGCCTGTCACACAGCAGTCCCCCAAAGAGCTGGGTCCCTGAGATGGGAGTGAAGGAAGTTTCCCATCTAGGCCTCAAAGGTTTCAGATCACTGCCCCATATTTCTGTGGCCCTCTTATCCTTACTTCAACCTTATTTTGTCTTTTGATCCATTGCTGAGAAATTTAGTATGACTTAAGAATTTCCACTAACTCGCAGATGAGGCTATTCCAAATCTTGAGTAAGTTCCAGCTTTCTTGGCACAGGTTCTAAAATGGCACGAGAACTTGATCTTTCTGGCTGGTCCCACTGTGTAAACTGTAGCTTCCCTATATACTGTCTTTTCCTTTGGCCATTCAGAATTGATTTTCTCATCACATTTCAAAGTATGGCATTCTTTCTACTGCCCTCCAAGTTCTATTCCAAGGAATAGATTCAGGTGTCAATATGTCTGTGGAGTAGAACCCATAAACCTGTCATGAATGTCATGTCTATCCAGTCTACTATAGACTCAATATACCAGTGGAGACAACTTGCCTTGGGTTTTCTTTGATTCCTTCCCATTTTAGTGGCACATAGGTGAGTGAATTATCCAAATCACACAACTAACAACCAGCAAGAACTCTATGCCAGACAACTAAAGGATAGGGCTCCTCTAAGGCCTGTCGATTCAATTAAAAATTAGGCTTAAAAGAATTTTTGCCTGGGGACCCATATGTACATTCACACAATCTTCCAAGGGGGATAAATTAATGTTTTGACTTACAGCGTTTGAGACTGACAGGTATCGATCATAGCTGATGAGGACAATGTTGTATACAGATGCTGTACATAAAAGATAGTCAGTAGTGAGCCAAAATACACAGATTTCCTTTCCAAAATCCCATTCGAACAGCATGTGAGGGATGTACAGAGGAATGGAGATCACACCTGCACAAGGAAAACATAAGTGTAAAAAAATAGCACACATCAATGAACACAAATGGGCATGTTTTAATGGCTACACAACACCAGGACATATCTGAATTCACTACAAATGCTTCGGCTGTAATTTAAAAATTCATGGTACTTCATCAAGCAGCTCAGGACTGATTTTCTACACACTCCTTAAATGCCATTTTTATAAGAGGGGTCATGAACGTTGCACAGGGGGCCCTCCTTATCCGTGAATTCTACTTCTGTGGATTCAACCAACCACGGACAGAAAATATTAGGAAAAAAAGTGCGTCTGTACCGGACACATATAGACTTTGACTAATAGTAATGACTTCTGGTCATTATTCTCTAAACAATATGGTATAACAACTATTTACATAGCATTCACATTGTCTTTGGTATTATACATAATCTACTGATGATTTAAAGTATACGGGAAGGGCCGGGAGGGGTAGCTCATGCCTGTAATCCCAGCACTTTGAGAGACCAAGGTGGGCAGATCACTTGAGGGCGGGAGTTCGAAACTGGCCTGGGCAACATGGTGAAACCCCATCTCTATTATTAAAAATAATAATAAATAATAAAGCATATGGGGGGATGTGCATATGTTATATGGAAATACTACAGCATTTTATATCAGGGACTTCAGCTTTCTTGGATTCTGCTATCTAAGGGGAGTCCTGGAACAAACCCCCACAGACACCAAGGGGTGACTGTACTTTCAATGGCTCCTTTCCACTTTCCAAATTAAGTACAGGTCTTGTATTTCTAGCCATAGGCAGCACAAATCATCTTTACTTTTTTCATGTTCTAACCCAAACAGGATGGACCACCCTTCTCCCAAACATATGGCACATTTTCACATCTCTTTTTTCTCTGCCAACATCATTCTTTCTTCCTAAAATGTCCACCTGTCTTCTACTAAAAAGTCAATTCAAGCCAGGCATGGTGGCCCACACCTGTAGTCCCAGCCCTTTGGGAGGCTGAGGTGGGTGGATCACCTGAGGTCAGGAGTTCAAGACCAGCCTGCCCAACATGGTGAAATCTCATCTCTACTAAAAATACAAAAATTAGCTGGGCGTGGTGGCACACGCCTGTAATCCCAGCCATTCTGGAGGCTGAGGCAGTAGAATCACTTGAACCCGGGAGGTGGAGGTTGCAGTCAACTGAGATTGTGCCACTGCACTCCATCCTGGGTGACAGAGCAAGACTCTGTCTCAAAAAAATAAAAATAAAAAATAAGTAAAAAGTCAATTCACTTCCTTCTTATTTTTCACTGAGGCCAAAAAGTGACCTCCTCCATGTCCTCTTTCTTGGAGCTTCCTCAGTAGAAGTGACCCCTCTGTCCTCTGCACTTTCCTGGTTCTTTGCTCATCTTTCCCTCTCTCATGCATTAACCACATTCTACTTTTATATCATAGTCATCTTTTTTGTCTGTCTCTCCTGAGGATGAGGGCCGTATCACAAATCAATGTTCGTATTTCCTGCAACCTCTAGTGTTGGCCAATGACTTGTACATTTCACTTAAATTAATAACAGCTAATATGTTTTATACAATTACCATGTGGTAGACCCTGTGCTGTGTGCATTGCAAATGTTACCTCATTTCATCTTCATAGAAAGTTTGTGAGGAAGGGACCATGCTGAGTTAACGTTAAAGAACCTGAAGCTCAGAAAAGAGAAAATTAGACCAAGGTCCACTCAACTAGCAAGTGGAGAAGATTGCATGTGAAACCAGGGATTGTGATATCAGAACCTCTGACTTTACCTACAACTCTTCGCTGTGTGAACAAATAGATAAGCTCTATCACAGTGATTCAGCCCAGCACAGAAACTGCTTAACTGAAAAGTGACGAAATGAGGTTCCCTTTCCTTTAGCTTTTAGGGGTTTTTAATTGCATTCGCATTTCAGACAAGTGTGATTAGTTGCTAAGAATATGATCTATTAAGTGGAAGCTCAGATGAAATCTTACTTTGTTGAGTCACTTCAAATGTATCAGATACTTCCAGGAATTCCCATTTTTTTATGAGAACTAAATTAGTCTATTATTAAGAATAGTAAAGATAAAGGACAAGGGAAGGAAGAAGGAAAGCCTGCATTCTCCAAAAACAAGACGACATGAGGCTATAACGGCATGGTTTCAGAACCAATGGAAGGTAGTGCTAAACCCTAGTATTCTGTCCCTAGGTTACATACAAAAATGAAAGACAAGACACCGTAGAGATGAAGAGTTGCGTGGTCAGTTCTTATATGTAGTTCAAATAACCTGTTTGTTTCATGTTTCAATTATATTTTTAAAGATAAGCAAACTTCCTTAGGGTGTCTTTCATCTCCAGGGTATGTGTGTGTATGTCTATGGTATAAAATAGGTCACTGGCTGAGAGTGGTGGCTCATGCCTATAATCCCAGCACCTTGGAAGGCTGAGGCAGGTAGATCACTTGAGCCCAGGAGTTGGAGACCAGCCTGGGCAACATGGCAAAATTCTATTTCTACAAAAAAAAAACAAAACAACAACAAAAAAAATTAGCTGGACATGGTGGCACATGCCTGTAGTTCCAGCTAACCAGGAGGTTGAGGCAGGAGGATCACTTGAGCCAGGGAGGTCAAGGCTGGAGTGAGCCATGATCATACCACTGCACTCCAGTCTGGGTGACAGAGTGAGACCCTGCCTCAAAATAAATAAATAAATAAAATAATGTAGGTCACCAGGTCCACTTGAGGTAAATCAAAGTATCCCCCAAACAGAGACATTTATTATATTTCAGCCCACGGTTGTGGCTTCCAATGTTCCCAACATGAGTATTTTCAACACTGGAACTCATTTCTTCCACAGAACGAGAAAGAAGAAAGATACTAGTAACGCATTCTAGTCACCACTGACTAAGAGTTCAGGGCAGGGGGTGGGAGGTAAATACTCTTTGTCACACACTTTCTCATTTACACAAAAGAGGAAGAGTGTGTTCGAAAGCCTAGGAGCTGCTGGAAACAGTGGTTAGCTGAAGACAGGCTCCAGGATATTTGGTTTTCGTAACCCCCGCTGTGCTGTCACCCGGCATTCTAGGTAACGCTTCCGTACTTGTGTCATGCTCAGTTCCTCTGTCTTGTTGAGCAACAGAAGAGATGTCTGTGGCTCATTCTGAACGAGATGCAAAGAAACTGAATCTGAACTATTTCTCTCATATACGTACTCCGAAGTGTCTCTACACCTTCTTTTTTTTTTTTTGAGACGGAGTCTCACGCTGTTGCCCAGGCTGGAGTGCAGTGGCGCGATCTCGGCTCACTGCAAGCTCCGCCTCCCGGGTTCCCGCCATTCTCCTGCCTCAGCCTCCTTAGTAGCTGGGACTACAGGCGCCCGCCACCGCGCCCGGCTAATTTTTTTTTTGTATTTTTAGTAGAGATGGGGTTTAACTGTGGTCTCGATCTCCTGACCTTGTGATCCGCCCGCCTCGGCCTCCCAAAGTGCTGGGATTACAGGCTTGAGCCACCGCGCCCGGCCGTCTCTACACCTTCGATTCGGGAATTGTGTTTTTGGGTGAAATGGAGCTGATAAGTAAACAAGAGCCAGTTTCTTGAAAAGATTAAGACAAAAGTAAAAGAAAACAAATATATGCCCCACCTCCCAGTCCCACTCCTAGTTCTCACCCCTCAGTCACTCCACCCCAGCCCCTCTGGCCTCCAGTGCACCACCCACCCTTCTGCCTCAGATCCTGCGCACCTGCTGTTCCTTGGTGTGAAGTGCTTTTCCCCAAGGGCGCCTTCTGTTTGCTCAAATGTCTTTCTTTTTTGTTTTGTTTGTTTGTTGACACAGTCTGGCTTTGTTATCAAAGCCAGAGTGCAATAGCATGATCTCAACTCACTGTAACCTCCACCTCCTGGGTTCAAGTGATTCTCCTGCCTCAGCCTCCTGAGTAACTGGGATTACAGGCATGTGCCACCATACCCGGCTAATTTTTGTGTTTTTAGTAGAGATGGAGTTTCACCATATTGACCAGGCTGGTCTCGAACTCCTGTCCTCAACTGATCTGCCCGCCTCAGCCTCCCAAAGTGCTGGGATTACAGGTGTGAGCCACTGCGCCCAGCCTTCAAATGTGTCTTTCTAAGTAAATTCTAGCTCCAGGGTTTAAAATTGCAGCCCCACTCCCAGCACACTCCCTTTCCCTCCTCTCTGCGTTTTTTTTTTTTTTCCAGTAGCAATTATCAGCCTCTAAAATACTATATAATTTGACTCCGTTATTTTTCTTGTTTATTGTCTGTCTCCATGCCCCTGCATCCATTAGAAATAGAATCATCATGAGGGCAGGGATTTTCACCTGTATTTTTACTGCTTTATCCCCAGCACCTCAAAAGTGCCTGCTTCAAAAGAAATAATTGTTGGATGAACCAATAGATGAGGATGAAGAAGCCCAGTTTGCTTTAAAATTGCCACCCATTTGACATCATCCCTTCTTTCTAAACCAGCTAAGAAGCTACATCTTCCATGAGAAAAGGCAATCAAAAGATGGGAGGAGCTAAAATCCCCAAGTAAATCCTTTGGGACACCAGAGGAATGTGTGGATGATGGTGAGTGCACAGAGGGTGTTATGGCCTGAATGTGTATGTGCCCTCCCCAAACTCACATGTTGGAGCCCTAACCCCCAATGTGGCTTTATTTGGAACTAAGACCTTTAAGGACAAAATTAAGGGTAAAAGAGTTCATAAGAGTGGGGCCCTGATCCAATAGTGTCCTTATAAGAAGAGACAACAGAGAGTTCACTCTCTCTCTCTGTGCACACTCAGAGAAAGGCCTCGTGAGGATGCAGGTAGATGGCAGCCGTCTCCAAGCCAGAAAGAGAGCCCTCATCAGAAACCAAAATTGGCCAGAATCTTGATCTGGAATGTCCCCGGCTCCAGAAGGATGAGAAAATAAATGTCAGTTGTTTAAGCCACCCAGTCTAGGGTATTTTGTTACAGCAGCCTGAGCAGATGAATACAGAAGGCCAGGAAAGAGTCCTGAACTCGGGCATACAGGTATCAAGATAAACTTTGCCATCCTGAACACTTGGTTCAGGCTCTGATAGCAGCAACCACGCTTATCTGCTGAAGATCCTGTCCAGCCGTCTGACACATGGTCATGCAGGCCACAAATGCCAGCACAACATGGGGATGAGAAGAAAGTACCCATAAATGGAAAGACTGGTCACATGGCAACACTTTTATAGATATTGATGTAGATATAGATAGTATGTGTTTCCCAGACTAGTGTACAGATGATGTATATTTATATAACATCCGGTATAGCTAGTACTAGAATTTTTCCTCAGTAAATCTTTGCTTACAACAGTAAATTCAGCCTGAGACGCTAGCAACTCAGGTGCCACAAATTTAGATTATACGCAGAGGGCCAATTCTGAAACCTGGGGGAAGAGGGCATTCAGCCAGCAAAACCACAGTTCCAAGCACATGTGAGGGTCTAATCTGCCCTGCCATTGTCACACGGCTCTGGAGCTCTGGATCTCATGACCCCAAATGTTAAGAATCAATGGCTTACAGCTGCAGAAAATCTCTCATGCGTTCTGCCCTGCACGCTCACCGCCTCCACGCCTTCTTCCCGGCTCAGAGACAAAAGGTTTTCTTCCCAGCATGGCAAAGGAGAAAGAACAGCATTGGCAGCAAACTTGAATCCTATTACAAAATGCTCCCGGGGCTGTGTCTTGGTGAGCCCTGCGTTAAATATGCAGAACTCTGCATGAAGCTGGCAGGGGGCAGGGGAGATGTGAGGGATGAGGCCGGCAGGCAGATGAATGGAGACTCTGACCTGCACCCAACTCCTTTAATCAGGAGCAAAAGAAATGATCAGAATTATTTCTTCACCCACCTGCTGATGGAGGAGATCACCAGGACTGCTGAATAACTACATCTGCAGAGCTATTTTCCAAAGACGAGCTCAAGCCCTTGAGGGTGGGACTGCCATGAGGCCGGTCTTGGGCCAGACGTGGAGACATTTTTACCTAGAACCATCTTTATTCAAAAGCTTCAGGCCCCAGGCTCTCTCAGCTGTCTCATCCGTCCCACCCTAAAACTGGGGCAGTCGGGACCTCACTCCCTTTGGGTTAGTAAAAACACTTCATCTATTTTAAGTGCTGACTGTCACCTAAAAGTCACAGGATCCTGTGAAGAAGGAAGAAGTGAAGGATACATGTATTTACAGTGGAATCTTCTCTATGTTCACATAAATAAACTCGTATATTTGTACATGTTTATGGGAGCACAGAGAATGATGTGGAAGGATCTACATCAAGCAGCAAATGTTGGTTACCTGAAGGGACAGAATTGAGGAAACAAATGGGGAGATAGTGCATTTTTTCAATACTTCTTTATGGGTTAGCTGCCTTTATCTGTCATTTCTATGCCATGACTCCTAAATCAATCTCCCAAACTAGAATTTTTCTCCAGAACTTTCAATGCAACATCAGAACCAGAGCCGCCCTGCCCACATACTTCCTGTGTCATTGAAGAGCTCCATACTGTTCTTAGTCTCAGAAACCCCATCTCTAACTCAGCTTTCTCTTTTCCTGTCCGATGCCTCCCTCCCCTGCTCCCACCCCGCCTTAGCCGCTCTGCCTGCTGTCCCCAGCCATCCTAGCTCGGGTCCTAACTACATGATTTCTGCCTAGATTGTTGCAGGATGGTCTCTGAAACAATGCCACCCCACACTCCAGTTTCCCCACTTCCTTTAACTTTTAACTTTTTTTTTTTTGAGACGGAGTCTCGCTCTGTCGCCCAGGCTGGAGTGCAGTGGCCGATCTCAGCTCACTGCAAGCTCCGCCTCCCGGGTTCACGCCATTCTCCTGCCTCAGCCTCCCGAGTAGCTGGGACCACAGGCGCCCGTCACCGCACCCGGCTAGTTTTTTGTATTTTTAGTAGAGACGGGGTTTCACCGTGTTAGCCAGGAGGGTCTCGATCTCCTGACCTCGTGATCCATCCACCTCGGCCTCCCAAAGTGCTGGGATTACAGGCTTGAGCCACCGCGCCCGGCCGAGTTTCCCCACTTCCTATGGCTCTTCCAGTGCCTCTAAAGTAAAGCTTTGATCTGTTCAACCACTCACCTGTTTTAAAATACTTAAATCTCCACAAGGCCTGCCAAATAAACTCCACTCCACACTCACGCTGGTATTTAAAGGCCCTCACTTATAGATTTCAGCTTCATCTCTACGGCTCCCCTGCACCCATCTGCACACCAGCCAGCTCGAAGCTCACCCTTAGGAAGATAAGCGCAATGATTTTCTACCAGCATGCCTTTGCTCATTCTTGGAGCAAAGAATCCTTCGCCCTATCTCTGACTACGGAAATTCTATCCATCCTTCAAAGTTCATGTTAAATGCCTTTATTCGCTAACTAAACGTGCTTTATGCCTCCTCCAAGTGACCATAGCGCTTGTTAGGTCTTGGTGGGGTCTCGGGTTACTCTATACTGCTATAGTCATTTCTGAACGTCTCTTGTCCACTCTTCTCATCAAAACCTTACTGGAAGAGACTAACCTAATCTTCTATAGATCCCTTGATTACCTAATAGTGCTTGCATGCCTAGCAGTATTATACAGGCTAGATACTATACTAACATTTGTGACCTAGGTCGGCGTTGACCCATAGCTGCAGAAAAATTAAAATAAAAAAAAGGAACTAACATTTCTTGAGTGACCACTGTATTCCAGGGAATGAACTAAGTATTTTATGTGTTTATTTCATTTTAACTAAATGTAAGCTTTATGCAGTTATAAACAAAAATAATCTGAATATGCCAGATTAAATTATACTAGAAACTCTTATAAAACAATATCATCAGCTGACATTTCTGTACATCTACTTATCATGATAAGCATTGTTTAAAAATAATAATCATCAGGCAGTGAAAAATTATAAAGTGCATGTTTTCAAAGAAAGTTGGTTTGATTTCTATGGTCTCTTAACGATGATATAATGCTGTGATATCATATTATATGCAAAGTACTTTACGGTTGGGTATATTTTACAAAATTCTATGCCACATCATTAAATTAATACTATTAAACATATTATTCAATCTGAAATGCTATTTTCTGATTGTACTGGTTACTAGCATATACATAATTTCTTATTACTCCAACATTGTGATACCGAGAAAACCATATTTACTTGAAGAGGAATACTTATAAGTCTAAACATACGAGGAAAATAGCACCAGAAACAAGTAACTCTTACATTAAAATTTTGGAGCTGTTCTGGACTTATCTTTATTCTATAAAAAGAAAATACACTGTTTTCAGCTGAAAATTCCCCTGCCACACGGATTTACATATGTATAACATTCCCTTACAGTGCCATATAGCCCCCTTCCAAACTTTAATACTTAAACTTTTTGGGTTTATTTTTCCCCCACCATATACAGTCCCCTGAAATAACAAAAGTTTATTTTAAGGTTTTAGAGATAAATTAAAATCAGAAAAGATTATCTTAAATAAAGACATATAACTTACCCACAAAGAAGTCAGAGATGGCCAAGTTAAGAAAAAAATAACTACTTCGATGTCTAAGGTTTTTGTCCACTACAAAAGCTAAAATGACCACAGCATTTCCTAGCATTATGGCAAAAGCTAGTAAGGACATAAAAAACGCTAAAGTAATACGAGTGCTTAGTGATAAGTTAATTGTGCTGTTAGTATCTGGCATCACATCAAATGATGAAGAAGGTCAAATTAGCAAATTAATCCAGCCAGACAATTCTGACAAGTATGTTTTCTAACCGGATACCTAAAATATGTAGTCTTCTACTCAAAACGACAGTTTTAATCTAATACTGATCTCATAGAACTTCCTGATTCTTGATAAAGTAAGCTTGTGGTAACAGTTTCCCTTTAACTAACACAGAAAAACTATTTCCAAAAAACAGTGAAATGTTTTACCTTAAACATTTTACTGTGATTCATCCATCTCCCATTATTAGAATAAAATTATATAATCTATAAAATGTAATCATAATATAGGTAATAAATTGGGCCCACACAAGGTTCATTTTTGTCGTTGTTGTTGTTGTTTGGAGATAGAGTCTTGCTCTGTTGTCCAGGCTGGAGGCCACTGGTGTGATCTCGGCTCATTGCAACCTCCGTCTCCCAGGTTCAGGCAATTCTCCTGCCTCAGCCTCCCAAGTAGCTGGGATTACAGGCACTCATCACCATGCCCAGCTAATTTTTATATTTCTTGTAGAGACGGGGTTTCACCATGTTGACCAGGCTGGTCTTGAACCCATGACCTAAAGTGATCCACCCACCTCGGCCTCCCAAAGTGCTGGGATTATAGGCATGAGCCACCACACCCAGCCATTTTTAAAACTCATGTAGATTCAGTTAAATATTCTCATCTGGCCATGATGGAGTAATTGGGGCTGAATTTCATGGTCCCATCTGAAACAGCCAAAAAATTAGACGATGGTTTTCAAGGCACTTGTCATTAACAAGGAAGGACAGTGATCCCTGAGGGAAGGCATGAGGCCTGCAGTTGCCCCAGCTTACTGCCTTGAGAGTTCCCAGGGCATGAGCAGAGGGGAAATCCAGGCAGAGCCCAGGAGACTCCCTGGAATGAGGAAATGGAGCTGAGAGTACAGGAGTACCAGAGAGGGTCTGAACTGCAAAGCCGCACTGAGCAGAACTCCAGAGATCTGCAGAGGACCCCCTTCAAGTATTCACCAGAGTGCTGATTAGCACAATGTGGAGGAACCGCTTTTAGGCAAGAAAAAGAACCACTCGAAAATATTACAGGCAATAGTACCCAATGCTCACAGAGGACTGGTTATAGTGCCTGCTCTTATTAGCCAAATGGAAAAAGTTCCTAATTCATGGGACGTTGGGTAGTAGACTCAGAAGGGTCTTGCCTCAGCAGTTAGGAATAATTAGCCCTACACTAAATATTTCTTGGGTTCTTCCTAGCAAATCTGAAAAGCAAAACCTGAAAGTTTGAAACTATTTCCAAGTAGCTTATTTGCAACCCTGAACACAGCTCAAGAATATTTATATGACATAAAAATATCCAGTACCCAACAATGTAAAACTTACAATGTCTTAAATCCAATTAAAAATTATCTGACATGCCAAGAAGAAGGAAAATGTGATCCATAATAAGGGGAAAAACATCAATCAATTGAAGTCAACTCAGAAATGACACAGATATTAGAATTAACAGACAAGAACATTAAAATGGTCAGATGGAATATGGAAAAAGGAAAATGGAATATAGCTGTATTCCATGTTTTCAAAAAGATATGTAAAGATATAGAAGATTTTTAAATCAAACATCTAGAAATAAAAACTAGAATGTCTGGACTAAACATACATTGGAAAGGATTCATGGCAGAGATTGCAGAAGATAAGATTAGCGAACTTAAACATGTAATGATATAATCCATCTACAATGAAACACAGAGATAAAAGAGATTTTTTAAAAATTAACAGTGTATCACTAAGCTAGAAGACAACTTAAGTGACCTAATGTATGTCTAATAGGAGTCCCAGAAGGAAAGGAGAAAGGAAACGACAGAAAAAAATTTGAAGCATCAGTGATTAAAACCTTTCAAAATGAGATGAGAACTATAAACCAAGAAGCTCAATGAATCCCAAACACAAGAAACAGAAAGAAAACTACAGAAGGCATATCAAATAAAATTGATCAAAACCAGTGTGAAAAAGAAAAGTTTAAGAACAGCAGGGGTTGAGGGAGGACACATAACATAAAATAAGAAAGGTATGGGTGTCAGCATGTTTCTCATCAGAAGCAACAGAAGCAGAAAAACAGTGGCTGCAATATCTCTCTAGTGTTGAAAGAAAAAAAAACTCAACCTAGAATTCAATATTTAGCAAAAAAGAAAAAAAAGTTTCAAAAACAAAGACAAAATAAAGGGTTTTTAGATATATGAGAGCCGAAATAATTCACCATCAGCAAACTTGCTCTACAAGAAATGTTAAAGGAAGTTCTTCAAGCAGAAGGAAAATGATGCCAAATGCAAAAATGACTCTATGAAAAGGAAGGAAGAGTAACAGAAATGGAGATTTTCTTGCTGGCCCTCCTAATAGAACCTAAGTTGCTACAGGGCAGAGAATGCACTTTGTTTCATTTTGTTTTGTTTCTTTTTTGTTTAAGTATGTGCATAAATCATAAATTGATAATTGATTAATGTTTACAAGTTGAGCATAACCATGTAACTACCACCCATACCCCTTTCCAATTACTTACCCTCATGGGTAAGCATTATCTGGACATTTAAAAACATAAGTTAATCTTGCACACTTTTATTTTATAAATGTAATTGTACATTCAAAAATTATATAAAATATTTCTTCATGTATATTCATTCTACATGATCCACAATTGATTAAATTATTTAAAAATCTTCACATTCTGCTCTATTATAATTTATTAATGCCATTTGCTTGTAAATTGATTAAAATGAAGATAAAAAGTAATTAATTGTTGTATTAGTCTGTCTTTATACTGCTATAAAGACATATCCAAGACTGGATAATTTATAAAGAAAAGAGGTTTAATTGACCCCCAGTTTCGCATGGCAGGGAGGCCTCAGGAAACTACATTCATGGTGGAAGGGGAAGCAGGCATGTCTTACACGGCAGCAGACAAGAGAGAGCATGTGAGCACACAGTATGGGTATGGGGGAGCTGCCCCCATAATCCAATTACTTCCCTCCCTCGACACATGAGGATTACAATTCAAGATGAGATTTGGGTGGGGACATAGCCAAACCATATTAATTACATTTTCCCTTTCTTAATAATTTCACTGGGGGAAAAAAAAAAACTATTCTTTCTCATGCGCCAATCATAACCTGAGCCAGAAGCTCCTTTACTGGATAAATTCCAACTAATATGTATTCATTAGATATCCACTTCAAAAGCAAGACCAGAACCAGATTTTTTTAAAAGGCAAATACCTGAGTTCAGAACCTACATCTTTTTCCGTTTAAAATTCACTGCCAGAAAGATGCAGTTTCCCACAGGAGAAAGACTCTGAGGAAGCAAGGGGCAAACTGAGATTCTCCCAACCCCTCCCATTCCCCTACCTCAGACATGAGAGAAACAGAATTTTGGAAAACTTCTTTTTTTTTTCTTTTTTGAGACACAGGCTCATTCTGTCACCCAGACTGGGGTGCAGTGGCACAATCTCAGCCCACTGCAACCTCCACCTCCCGGGTTCAAGCGATTCTCCTGCCTCAGCCTCCTGAGTAGCTGGGATTACTGGTGTGTGTCACCACGCCCGGATAATTTTTGTATTTTTTTGGTAGAGACAGGGTTTCACCGTGTTGGCCAGGCTGGTCTCAAACTCCTGGCCTCAATTGATCTGCCTGCCTCAGCCTCTCAAAGTGTTGTGCTGGGATTACAGGTGTGAGCCACAATGCCCAGCCAATTTCTACCTTTTTAACTGATCTAAACTGAAGATTAGTTAGATCTTAGTAAAGTGAACTGATGGCACTCAGTTCACTGCTCACATAGGCAATGACATGCAAAATAACATTGTATTCAATGGACTTGTATTTATCACTTTCAAAGTCATGGGTTAATAGGACATTGAAATGGATAACTAAAATACCTGTTTAAGAAGGTGGGCATAACAAAGAATCAAATGGCTAGTCTATAAGCCTGCAGCTTTGTGTTTTGCAACTGAAGGTGAGGGGAACTAAAGGTGAAGTTCCATTAGGTAAATAATTATAACTGTTGGTAGAATTAGGGAGAAAGAGATAAAGAATGAAACAAGTATTTGCATATGATCTTCCCTACTTCACCTCTATTTTCCTTTTCAACAATGGATCTGGTAGTCCTTGCAACCAGGGCTACCATTAAGAATCCCAAAATCCACATCAGGCATGGTGGCTCACGCCTGTAATCCCAGCACGTTGTGAGGCCAAGGCAGGCAGATCACGAGGTCAGGAGATTGAGACCATCCTGGCTAACATGGTGAAACTCCATCTCTACTAAAAATACAAAATTAGCCAGGCATGGTGGCATGCACCTGTAATCCCAGCTACTTGGGAGGCTGAGGCAGGAGAACCGCTTGAACCCGGGAGGCGGAAGTTGCAGTGAGTTGAGATTGCACTACTGCACTCCAGCCTGGGTGACATAGCGAGACTCCATTTCAAAAAAAAAAAAAAAAGAATCCCCAAATCGTATAATATTCCAAAACAAGGTCATATATATATATGTGTGTGTGTGTATGTGTGTATATATATGTGTGTATATATATATATAAATTTGAACCTAAATGCAAAAATTCCAAAGAGGTTGATGGCATGGATTATCTGTTCCCTGCACTTTGCCAGGGTGGGGCTGACTATGCAAATGTTTTGTTGCTTCGTGGAAGGACAGTACCCTTTCTTCGTATGTATCCAGTGTGATCCCCTACTCTTGGGAATGACCCCAAAAGGAAACCCTGGAATATCTCATTTTGCTACCAAAAATATGGGCTAGTCCAGTGACAACAAGTGGGACCTGCTTTAGGGGGAAAGGTTTGGATTTAAATTAATGATACAAGGAAGAAAGGTGAAACTGTTGCTGAGGGGAGGGTAGTTAATAAGTGGATATTACAAAAGGGAAAATCTAATATAATTTTGGTGCCTTGAGAGACTCTCAGAGCAAAAGAATAATATTCTCTTTTAACTTCCACCCAGTGCCCCTTGCAGTATTCAGTTTTCCAAAACCTCTTTCTGAAGAATCAAGAGTAAGCAGTACAGTAGCCAACTCAATGAATGTAACACACACTTCTGAGAGTGGTCTTCGTCCGCAAAATGGATGAGCAGATAGCAGCTCTGACTATAACTATCTGGAACAATACAAATATGGCTATGTCCTTTCGTTTCCATTTCACAGGATAGAGCTATGGTCGAAAACCTGAATTGGGAAGCAAACTATGGAATATGCATCCAGTTGAATCTGGAAAACACCGATTACCACTAGTCTAAATGAACATTGTGCAACCATTGATTGAGAAAGTTTAAAGAAGGTACTGGGATATGATGGAAGACGTTCATCTTCAGCATGTCCCATCTGTCAAAACATTATGTACAAAAATAGCTCTTGTTCCTGTTATTGG